GTACTGATGAGGTACCAGTACATGCCTCATGACTGAGACAGTGTTGTGTAGAGCTATCGGTATAATAACACAAGACTCGTCGCGTGGTTGTCCATGGTCATATTGCAAGTGTAGCTGGCGTGTGTATGACTTGCGAATGATCGAGTGTGCGTCGAGTGTTCTGAATCGAAGGTAGGAGATGGTGCAATCGAGCAGCTGATATGGCGGTTGTCGTAGTGCGATGTAAGAGTCGAAGAATCTTCTCATCGTGAAGAGGTTTACTCCTCATCGTCTTCGGCCGCGCCAACTTTGGTGTCCCAAAGGGGCCCACCCTGTGGGTTAGGAGCGGGAGCAGCTTCAGCGTTGCGCCCCCAAACTGGCCTTCTCCCTGCGTCAGGAGCGGGAGCAGCTTCAGCGTCGCGCCCCCAAACTGGCTTTCTCCCTGCGTCAGGAGCGGGAGCAGCTTCAGCATCGCGTCCCCAAACGGGCTTATGCTTCTGTGGGTTAGGAGCGGGTGCTGCTTCAGCGTTGCGTCCCCAAACAGGCTTCGTTCCGGGATACACCCACTTCGGTGGGCCAGGAGCGGGAGCAGCTTCAGCGTCGCGTCCCCAGACGGGCTTATGCTTCTGTGGGTTGGGAGCGGGAGCAGCTTCAGCGTTGCGTCCCCAAACGGGCTTCGTTCCGGGATACACCCACTTCGGTGGGCCAGGAGCGGGTGCTGCTTCAGCGTTGCGACCCCAAACGGGCTTCGTTCCGGGATACACCCACTTCGGTGGGCCAGGAGCGGGAGCAGCTTCAGCGTCGCGTCCCCAGACGGGCTTATGCTTCTGTGGGCTAGGAGCGGGTGCTGCTTCAGCGTTGCGTCCCCAGACGGGCTTATGCGTTGCTTCAGCGGGTGCTGCTTCAGCGTTGCGTCCCCAAACGGGCTTTCTCGTTCCCTCAGCAGCGGGTGCAGCGACGGGAGCGGCTTCAGCATCACGCCCCCAAACGGGCCATCTCGTTCCCTCAGCAGCGGGTGGAGCGACGGGGGCAGGAACTGGCAAGGCGGCACTGTAAACAGTGACCGACAGGATGGCGGAGGCGATGAAGGCGGAGATCTTCATGATGTCGAACTTGGATAGATCGTGTGGTAAAGTATCGTGAAGGTTGGAGAGGATCGACTGTTGATCAGATGGTTGATGCTGATCCTTGAAGGTGCAGACGATGTCGAAAGATATTGGTGCGTGCTGGGGAGAGTACTTAAGTTCGAGAGGGAGATGTAATCACACGAGAGAACCTAACGGAGGCGTTCTTTTTCTCTATTGACACCCCAGAACATGAATAGGCCACATTGTTGCTCAATAGACCTTCGGGTCGCCCAAGTCCGATAAGTGAAGGCAAGCCCTCAAAGGGATCACTCTGAATGGAGGTCGGTTAAGCCCCAAAGCAAGGTTATCCAGAGCAAAGAGGTCTTCCAGGCCTTCGGGGGCGCTATGGATTACGGATAACTTGGTCCGAGAAGATTCAAAGCTCGCGGGGAGACGGCGAGCATACGCTTTGCGACAAGTGCAACAAGGGATTACTACAACGTTGAAAGCGAACGAGTTCTGGTGTTGTGATTACCTCTTTTGGGTCTGAATAGCTTCAATAGAAAAAAGAGGCTTGGCACGGCTCGCGTGCACTCGATATCAGCACAATGACGCGCCACATTATGAAAGATTGATTTTACTGGATCAAAGAACGCCTTCTGGAAGGTTCACGAGTAAACGACTCAGGATTGAGGTATCGGCGTTAAGGAGGCGGCTCAAAGGTGGAGTAGCTTTCATGGAGGTGTGATCGAGCAATATTACGCACATTAGCGCATGTCGAGACTGAAATCATCTTTGAGATCGAGAGAAAGAGACTTCAGGTCCACCAATGATTTTGAATCGATCGCAACCTGCGATCTGTAGGACAATGGGCTCGCCCGGTTGACGTAGGAGGACCATGATGCAAGTGACTCTGCGAGGGCTTCCGAAAGAGCCGTTGTCCTGGGACAGCAGCGATTCGACCAGCCGTAAACGGTAGATACGCTGAGAGGCGGAGAATATAGCATTGTCGGCAAGACAATAACGCAAGTGTTGCTCGCATGCAGGGTGCGCTTGCGGGCGTCTGACGGCATATTTCGATGGAAAAGAAACACCTGCATGAATGCTCCTTGCAGTACACCATGTGCCACGTGGGAAGGAGACCCCTAGTCTGAATCCTTTGAATCGCGAACGGTTCCTGTTGGGCTTGTGAGTCTATTGGCAACGCAAGACTGATGGGATTACTGTCAGGGGAATCGTCAGCCAGGCTCGATGCGCCCTCTGGATTCGAACGTTTTCACTCCATGTGCTCTTTCAAAGTCGCCGGTTTCAGCTGGTGATATGAATGTGAAGGACTCGAGCGACAGGAACGCGTCGTGGTGTGTGTTGGGTTGTCTGAGCAGCCGCCTGGTCGATAAGGAGCTGATTAAGCTAGCGTCGCACGTGGCACCGCGCCAAAAGTTGCCGCGGGAAATCGTCGCGAATCACTGTGAGACGCCCATGAAAGTATGCATGCAAGAATAGCCAGGTCCACGGCGCCTGCGTTCAGAGCGGTGCTTTCGAGCTTGTCGAGGCGGCCGTCAGCATGGATTTGCTCGTCCTTGCAGGCTGGTAGCGGACGAAGCCGCCGGCACATTACCACCCAAACGTCGGAGAAGCCCTACTACATCACCACGCCAATATTCTATGTCAATGCTGCCCCGCATGTCGGCCACCTGTATACCATGGTCCTCACGGACGTGATAAAGCGGTGGCATGAACTCAAAGGAGAAAAGGCGTTGCTATGCACCGGAACAGATGAACATGGCCTAAAGGTGGTTTACCTGGCAATGTGATAGTATTGCACTAAATCTGTAACAGGTTCAGAGAGCAGCTGCAAAAGCTGGCATTGACCCGAAACTGTTCTGCGATAAGGGTGCCGAGATCTTCAGAGTACGCATGCACGCATAACGAGCCCCCGCCATCGTTACTTACCTGTACGAGGAACTTGCAGCCAAAGCCGAGATCACGAACGATCACTTCGTACGGACGACGGATAGAGAACATAAGGAAGCTGTCGAGTATGCATGGGTACGAGAACTTGAGTTCAGACGGTGGAAAGCCATGTAGCTGATGGCGGACAGTTCCTGCTACAAGAGAAGGGCCTCATATACGAGCAGAAGCATGAGGGATGGTATTCAGTCACCGACGAATGCTTCTACCCACAGTCTGCCGTACAGCCATATCTTGACCCACCTACAGGGAGGAAGATGATGGTAAGATTTTGCTGGGGCGCCACTGTCATTCGATCTGACCAGGCTACAGACATCGATTGAGACTGGTAGTGAAGTAGAGTGGTCTTCAGAAGTCAACTATCACTTCCGGCTCTCGGCATTCCAGGATAAGTTGCTCGAGTTTTTCAAGAACAACCCCGAGTGGATAACCCCGGAGCACCGTATGAAGGAGGTTGTGCAAGCGGTCGAATCAGGATTGGAGGACCTGTCTGTGTCTCGACCGTATGAACGACTAACGTGGGGCATTCGAGTTCCCGGAGACGACTCGCAGACCATCTACGTATGGCTCGACGCGCTTATGAACTATGCGACCAAGGCCGGATACCCATGGACACCGGGCCGCGAACAGGCAGGAGGCTGGCCCGCGGACTGTCATGTCATTGGCAAGGACATTGTGCGATTTCACTGCATTTACTGGCCTGCCTTCCTCATGGCTCTTGGACTTCCACTGCCCAAGAAGATTCTGACACACGCTCACTGGACTCTTGGAGGGTCCAAAATGTCCAAATCTACTGGCAGGGTCGTCGATCCTTTCCACGCCCTTGATCGGTTCGGTCCGGATGTTATGCGCTTTTACATGGCTCGCGAGGGTGGTATACAAGACGATGCGAGCTATGACAATTTCCGCATCATTGGTTTGTACAACAAGTTCCTGAACCAGCAACTCGGAAACCTGGCTTCTCGTGTTACACGAGGCAAGAAATGGAGCGTTCGTGGCGCAGTCGAGCGTGTTGGTGGGTGGCCAGCGGAGGAGTGGGCGGAAGGACCAGGTTCCAAGTTCCGGAATAATTCTCTTGCTACCATCGCCTCGCAAGTAGATGCATCTTTTGATGCCTACGATCCGCGTAAAGCCGTGTCTCAAATCGCAGAGTTCGTCCGAGGGGTAAGTCCAGACACTCATCTTCCTGCCATCCTACTAACTCGACCAAGTCGAACGCTTTCTTCCAGATGTCGCAACCATGGGACAAGGTCTTGACCTTCGGCCCAGGAGAGCCTGGCGAGGATGTCGACAAGATCATTTATCTTGCTGCTGAAGCACTTCGAATCACCGGTATCCTATTACAGCCATACATGCCGAACAAAGCACGCATGCTACTTGATCAGCTAGGCGTACAGCAAGATCGAAGAACCTTTGAGTACTGCAAGCCTGGCGCAGATGTAGACTACGGAACTCCGTTGGTAGAGCTGGGTGCAGCGCACAAGGGTGTGTTGTTTCCCCCACTGCCGAGCGAGGGATGAGAGTTAGGTGTGTTGTACTATATGTATTTGTAGTTACGAAGCATGGGCAATGAAATAACTCAAGAGATGAATGCATATATACTCTGTGAAAATATGGAGCGCGTGTTTGCACCAATGCTTTAATCGCTCGAATCTAATCGCGCAAGGGTGCTGTCGCAACGGATTTTCTTAGAAGCACATTTCAACCCTCGAACATTGCTTAACAGGTGAGTTTGGTCAGGAGCTGATCCCGTGTGGCTGGTGCCTAATGCCAAGACTACATCATCGGCGGTCGTCGCGCGAACTTCAGATTTCTGAGTGAACATTTCCTACGACAGCACATTCACAAACACCACAACACCTCCACACCTTTCGCCCCTGAAGCTGCATCTGAGCCTCCAAAAATCTTCACACCTTTTTCTAGCGGTTGCGAAAGCACAAGACAAAGCAACGCGCACGCGCCTCCACGCAGGATCAATTCACCATGGCCGCCCCCAAGCCGGGCGGCTTCAAGATGTCGCTCGGGGCACTGAAGACGAAGCCAGGGCTGAAATCTTCCCCCGCACAGAAAGACACCAAAAAGACCAAGCTTTTGCTCGGTGACGACGAACCAGACGATTCGAATACGCAACAAGAGATCACGGGATGGGACGCAGCAGAGGGCGGCGCGGTCGATGCCAACGGGAAAAAAGAGAAGGAGGGACCGCGCATCATTCCAGCTTTACCCAACCGCGATTGGCGAGCAGAGGCACGGCGGAAACAACTTGCGAAAGCACCCCATCAGCAAGCGCAAAATGTCACGGTCGATGAGAGCAAGATGGAGGAGCCGAAGGTGCAATATGGCCTTACGATTATCAAGAAAGACGAAGCGCAAGAAAATGGAGCTGCGGAAGCTGAAGCCGCGGAACCGATGGAGGTGGAGCAAGACAATCTCACGGAAGAGCAGCGGCTCGAGAAGAAGGCACTCGATGTGCTGATCAGCGGCAAATCCACGGACAACGATCTCGTGATTCCTGTACAATCAGAAGAGGACGCACTCTTAAACGATCTCAACAATGCGCCCGACGCGCCCACCCTCGAAGCATACGAAGCTACCCCGATTGAAGGCTTCGGCGCGGCGCTCCTACGTGGTATGGGTTGGAAGGACGGCGATGCAATAGGCAAGAACGGTCCTGCTGCGAAACCGAAAGAAGTCAAACGGCGACCAGCGCTGCTTGGCATAGGCGCAAAGGAAGACGCTGCAATAGGCGTTGAGCTAGGGGAATGGGGTGGTGGCAAAGGCAAAGGGAAGAAGGTCGCGCAGAGCTACAACCCCGTTACGCTGCGGAACAAGGTTACCGGTGAGATGATCACAGAAGAGGAGCTAAAGGCCAAACTAGAGGCTCAGAGCTTGCTCCCAGACGAGAAGCCGTCAAGAAGCAAGAGCAAATACGACGACGACAGCGAAGACGACGAGCGAAGGCGCGAGAAGCGGAAAGAAAAGCGAGATGACCGCGACCGCCGACGCGACGACGACTATGACAGCGAACGGAGGAAAGACAAAGACCGCCGAAGAGACAAGGACGACTACTACGACAGCGACCGCCGCCGAGACAAGCGGAGAGAGCGAACTCGAGACGACGACTACGATAGCGAGCGCAGGCGCGAGAAGCGAAGAGAACGTAGCCGCAGCCCCGACGACCGAAAAGAAAAGCGCCGCGATCGGTACCGTAGCAGGAGTCGAGACTCGAAGCGGAAGAGCGATAGGAGGGATCGCAGTCGCAGTCGTGACTCGGATGATCGCAGGAAACGGAGGAGAGATAGGGAGTATGAGGATGAGGAGAGGTATGAGAAGAGGCGTAGGGATGATAGGAACTAGAAGTAGTGTTTAGACGGGATGGGCATAACGGTATCAGACAGTATGAAGCTGCATGTATCTGGCGTTTTATATTGGCATCACACGGGCATTGCATAGGCATGAATGGGCATCTTTATGATGAAGTAATTCACCACACCGCGCTATCTGGTTGGACTCCGACCAGGAGTTTCGATAGATATCTGAATAGTTCACACGACCGTACAAATCGAGTATTTTCTAAAACTCTTTGACAACACATTGACTTGTACTAGTCTGTTAATATTGTATCCAATCTACGAACGCATGACGCTATATTATTTGAATACGAACTGATTGCAGTTTCATAGTATCTCTCTGTTTGACATTTGGCAGGAATAACTACATCTGCTTCATATTTCACACACCTTTGAGCAAGCAGATTAAGATAATGCCGTATAAATATCGGATGGGCGAGTTTCTTCCTTGCTATTACTCTTGGATCAACGACCCTGAAGTCTGTAAATATGCCCACAATCAGTGGGACGTTTCCACCCACCTCAAATTTAAATCGCCGGTTCACCTTTAGTGTCAAGTAGGCTACAGTCACTTGTTGCTTCGTGGAGTGTGCTCGTGCAAGAACGTAACCAAAGCATAGCACGATTGAGTAACACGGGATATAATCGGAATGCACGTGTATGTCTAAAGCATGATATCTTGTGTTGAGACTGATGTGAGTGGTTTGTGGTTAATTCCAGTCCCAGGGCTCACTATATGTGTGGGAGAAAAGCTCGTTATAGTATCATCTCATTCCATTATGTGCCATATTAAATGTCATTTACTAGTACATCGAGCCCCCGTCAATACAACTCTCATGCGTGCTTCATTCTTAATCGTAACTATGCGTGGACTCAAATAAACAAAACGCCAGTGGTATATGTAAATGCCAAAAGCTCAAAACAAAACAAATTGAATATGTACAAATACGGGGTATACATAGAGAAATTAGAAGTTGCGCGAGGGCAGTGGGGATGGGTCCTGCGCGGGCATAGGGTAGCCGTTTCCGGTGTGTGATACGTAGCCGTTGGCCTGGCCATTAGTAAGAGAGTTGCCGTTGGTGTATCCGTTGGCGTAACCATTAGTTTGCGGTACGGCCATTTGCGAGTTGCCACGGTAGTACTGCTGGCTGTCCGCAGCGCCATCACCCATGTGGTGATGCGGGTGGGTTCGTCCGGTCTCGCCGCTCTCCTCGAAGACTTGCATCTCGGTCTGCTTGGACTGGTGGTTCTTGGTGCGCGTGGCAGGTAGGAAGTCGATGAAGAAGCTGAAGACGTAGAAGCAGTAGATGAAGGATACACACCATTCCAAGACAGCAGCCACGTTATAGATGTGCTGCTTGGAGCATACCGCAAAGGCGATGGCGAGGCACACTTCGGTGATGATGAAGAAGAGTTTGATCCAGAAGGAGATTCGGAGGATGGAGTGCTCGCGGTAGTGTATGCCTAGGCGCTGGTACTCCCAGCAAATGAAGATTGCCGAGACAATGTAGCCGATGATGAAGACACCAAGAAAGATGTTATGCAGTCTGTTGTGGTTCTTGCAATCGAAGATAGTGAGGAGGATCAGACCGGCGGCACCGATTATGGCGGCGACGGTTGCGCAACCTGAGTAGATCTTCTGCCAGTGAGACGTGTTTGGCGCAAGTTTGTTGGTGTGTCGCAGCCAGCGCTCGAAAATAAAGGCGAGATCGAAGGTTACGACAGTAACGGCGGACATGGCAATGAACATGGCTTTGAGGTAATCCGCACCGATGTCTGGATGCCGTTAGCATTGTATGGATCGTATTGTCCATGCTGCATCACTCACCAGAAATGTAAGGAATGTTTTGCCCGTCGCTCATTGTCACATAATGCGGTTTGCCGGTGGCAGCCCAGTACACCAGCATGGTGATGAGCATAGCAGTCCATACTACTGCGGAGAAGATGGGGACGACCCAATACGAGAGCCCCAACATGATGGCTGATGTCCCTCGACGGTCTTGTGAGGTTTGCGGGTAGAACGGCGATGAGTCCTGTTGCGGCTCCAAGGGGTATCCAACGCGCCTGCGACGGGAGTGTGCGGATAGGGTAACACGGCACGCGACCAGAAGGTGAAGTGACGGAAGTGAAGCAGGAAAGACACGAAGACGCGATCAGCAGCAGGGAGCAGGCCTAAGAAGATGAGAGGGGACCAAAAGCAGATATGATGGCAGGACAGTCCGCGGCGCAATGAAAGTCTCATACAAGCGGTGTTGTTGCTAGGACGCGACTATGATGTCACGGCTCCACGACTAAGCCGGCTTGCGTAAGATCCCGCCGCCTCCGCTTCGATCGCGGTGCTGGACGTCACCATCAAGGCGCAGACTCTTCGATTGCGCGGAGTGAAGATCGTGAATGCTTCCCAACACCTGCGGACGAAATCTCACGTCAACCTTGGAAGGCTTACTGATGATGATGCGGCGACGAGCCTCTGCGGGTGTGGCTGCTGCAGAGTCGCGATAGGACTAACGCCATGTTTGTGCGGCTGGCGCATCGATTCTGCCTCAACAACCTTGCCATCGAGATTCGAGGCCAGCCGTCGCAGAGCTCGATCTCGCTCAAACGCAACGCAGAGTTTCAGCGTCAGCACTACGATGACACGTCCGAGGACCAGGCTGTTGTCGCATCGAGAGACCCGACATTGTAAGGTCCATGTGACTTACGATGCTCGGCAGTATTGCGCGGCCTGATATGGCTGTCACTCCGTCGTGAGGTGGAGCGCGTTGCTAGTGGTGCGCGACATCCAGGCCTTCAGTGCTCCGGCCTTGATAGTTTTACAAAACTACTCCCGAACTCCAGTGTGGCCTGTTGCTGGTGCAAGTGCATAGCAGCCTGCGATATGGTTTCGAGACCAGTCGATGCATTCGGGCTTTTATCCAGAACCCGGGGTAGGTGCGCGCAACTGTGTCGCGTATGTCGCGCGTCGGACCTGCCACCTGATCAGCCTACTTACTGCAGTCCTTTATTCCTGGAAAATTGCTGCCAGTCATTTCTTGGACGGTCGCAGGAGTAGCGGTGACTATGTGTCCTGAGAATACGTGGCGGGGATGATAACGCGCGTAGCCAGAACCCTAGGACAATCACGACGCGACATGGAAACAAAGACGGACTGCTGATCGGAGATAATCCACAGTCTACTCAAGCTGGGATCGTCAGGTTCAAGTATCCGCTACAAGAGTTGAGAGAAAAAGGAAAGCGAGGAGTACCGCGCGAACTGTTCATGCATGCTGAATGCATGGACCAAGGCGAAGACCAGGGAACTACGGCAAAAGACATCTGGGATGGCGACACGGCCAGCCACTGTGCTTGCTAGGAGCACCGCCACGCTTTATGTTGCGAGACGCGTATGTCGGCACGGCCACAACAAACCAGCTCGCCTAGCTTTTCCTGGTGTGGATCTTTCACAGCCATGGCACGACTTGTGCATGTGGAATTTGCACTTTGCCATGGTTTGAGGCTTGCAGAGGTCCGATCAGCCGTTAGTTCACCGATACGGCAAAAAGCATCTGGGATCCAGCCTTCGCGTTGCGCATGCATCACGACCCCCCGCCTTGATTGGTTGCGGCGCTCGTGCGTGCAGCAATCTTGATTGGCAGATTGCTCCCATCCTCGATGCAGCCTGCATTGTCCGGTTTCATATCGACCTTCTTCCAAGTTTGTTGTCACGTAGACCAGCTCAATCTTTGCCTGCGACGTGCACCGCTCGTAGTTCCATGTCTGGCGTCCTTGACACTTGTAGCCGGTAACGCTAGACGCCCGTTCTCGCGGGGACATATTACTTATTGTTCCTCAATATCCCTCCACTTGGTCCGCCAGTTCTAGTGTACCGCCGGACTATGCTTTCATGTTCGCATACCAGCCTCCGTACTGATAACGCTGCAGCTCCGAGGACACTATAAGGGTACGCAGTCAACCTCCCATCCAGCCTGGCATTCACAAACAGCAATTAACTCTCTCTTTAGCTACTGCAATTCCAATGCATCATTGTCAATAGTTTTGAGCGCCGTCGCTCTCCAATCCCACTACCACCTTCAATATGGGCAACCAACCCAGTACCGAGAACCACAACAAACTGTCCAAACCGAAGACGAACACCAACTCCGCGAGCGCGGCGGGGAAGCTCGACTCCCCGCAACCCACAACATCGAGATCGGCAGACCTCACCCCCGAAGGACGCCAACAAATCAAAGATGCACTGCTCTCACCTATTGCTAGCGAGTTCGATCCCACCACATGGACACACGAGGATGATGGGCTAGGGGAGGTCACAAAGACGCGTGGTCGCGCATCGACAATTGGTTCGAGATCGAACTCGCGAACAAACTCAAGAGCCAATTCCCGAACCAATTCTTTGTCGTGTTTCCGGAGCAAGCACAGCTCGGCAGCCCAGCTTGCTGGCCTAGCAGACTCCAAGCTGTCTTTGGCTTCTGTCTCACACGTGGATATTGCTGAGGCAATTCGGCTTTTACAACAAGTCAAGAAGAATGGCACACCAGAAGAACTTGCGGCGCTGCAAGAAGTCCTTGAATCACCTGAGGAGCCTCCCCAGCCGGTAGCTGAGGCACCTCCTAGCCGAAGAACTTCGCTAGTTGATCGATCTTCTTCTTCGCTCACACGCCGTCAGTCCCTGGTCCAGACACCTGGTGTAGGCACACGGCACTCTCCCATCGAGGGACGTCGCAGGACATGGAATTCATGGAAAGCGCCGAAGCTCAGCCCTGAGGAAGAGGCAAAGTGGCAGCAAAAGTCAAAGGCGAAGGCGCATTTGAGCCCTCAAGCAGCTCTTCGCTTATCTGATGAACCTTGCGATAGCAACACAACGCGAGCCCACACCCCATCGGACCTGGATTATGCGCATCTAGGGAACCTACAGCCAGGAACTCTCGTTGTCACGAACGGTGCGGCATCGCCTGTTCCCAGTTCAGAGACTTTAGAGTTGCGCAAGACTGAAGAGGAGGACTATTTCGAAGCAACAGAGTATGCCTCCAGTCCGTTGACGATGAAGTCATCACGCCAGAGAGCTCACACAAGGAGCAAGTCAGCCGCTGTTCCAGCGACTTCTTCATTGTATGAGCTGGAAGCCAACGAAGTAGCCACACCGTACGAATTGGAGACCCCGGTCGTTATGATGGCGTACACGTCTGAGCCGCAGCACAACACTGAAGCTGAATCCCCAAAGTTTCTGCGGCTCACGCCCCAGGGCAAGAAAGGCGCAGCGCAGTTCGCCCAGAGCTACCAGGACGATATCCCGTTAAGCCCGTTTCTTGTGTCCGAGGAGACGACTGAGTCCAATCAGCGGGAGCCTTCTCCTACCTTACCAGAGCCCAAGCCTCAGCCTGATATCGAGATCTCAGCACCTTCGTCCCCATCGATCGCGCCCACCTCCAATAAGCCAAAGAGCAGAGCTTCTCAGCGGCCAGCACCACGTACGACCGATTCTGGCTACTCATCCGCTGGCAGTCTACGTATAGTCGGTCAAGAGCCGACGGAAAACGCCACCACCATTCTGTGTCATCGGTGCAACGACTCGCCGCAAATGGTTGAGGTGAGCCAGGGACGCGAGACTCGCCGTTCAATTCTTGTGAAACAGAACCGTCAATTCGTGGAGTCGCCGAACACCACGAGCGATTCGGATGGCTCAGCCGAGAGTGGCAGATCCAAGCAATCGCTGTCAGTCAATGTGCAGAAGGCGCGATACCTGCCAGCGCTGAACAGTCCGGTTCCGTCTACTAGCTCTTCTACTAGATCATCGACGTCCGAGTGTGTACATTCGCCAATAACATCCCGATCCATCGGTTCAAGGGCATCGTTTGACAGTGCTTCGTCAAAACAGCAAAAGCGATTTCACAAGAAGCGGCCGTCCCAGGCTGAACATCCTGTTGTTCAGTCATGCCAGCCAATTCCAGAGGGAACGATTCCTGAGGTCCCAACCAGGGTGCGAGCCAAGTTTGAGCGACGCGTGTCGAGCTCTCCGGGAATTGATTGCTTGACGCACACCTACCCGACAAAAGAGCACGTTTCTGCGGACGATTCCACCATGGAGGCTTCTGCTCCGGAGCAGACTGAGTTCAAGCCACTCGCTGAATTGGAGGCTGAGCGTGCACCCACACCCCCTGCTCACGGTCGTCGCAGGAGCTTGTCCTTCTTCCGAAGGAAGTCTGCACCTGCACAGAGTCAGACCGAGCAAGAGCCTGAGCAGGCCGCACTTGATGTGGTTCATCTTGGTACCATCACCTCGTCCCTCGGCACCTCTCCGTACGACATCGCCATGTCCGACACCCCGAGACAGCGTGTTGTTTCTCCAACCCACCCACATCAACTAGGCGCTTCTTTGCCTCGGTCGAAGTCGATGGTGACCATGGACAGCAAATCTGCTGCAGAATTTGCGCGCCTACACAGCAGGGACCTATCCGTTAATCGACGGGACATGCCCGCTCAACAGCGCCGGAAAAGCCTTCACAACCTGAAGAAAGCAACTGGTGAGGCTACGGCGTCGAAACTTCGCCCACAGAGCATCGACGTCCCACCTGTGCCATCCATCAACACGGCCAGGCTTACCGTCCCACAGACTGGGAAGCCTCAAGGACCCAGGGCTGCTCCCAGCCCCAGGCCTCGCAGTCCGAGAGGGTCTCCTCCGGTGATCAGATATGGCGCGCCTCCGCAACAGCCTCCTCAAGGTGTGATATCGCCAAGGCAGTCCCAGGTCTGGCATCAGCGCCGTAGGACGCTCGGAGATCGCCTGTACTCGGATGTCAACCTGGACCTGTACTCGGATCCAAACGACGCGTCCAACAATGCGAGTCCAGTCGAAAGCCCATGCGAAAGTCCCCTCGAAATGACTCCCCGCAAAGAAGTCAAGGGTTCCAACAACATCTCTAGGTGGGATCGCTTTAGTGGGGGTTTGGATTACAACTACGAACATGGGGCGGGCATCGGAGGCAGCGCCGGCACGCGATCGCACCACAGCAATGCCTCGCTGAAGTCGCTGGCCTTCCAGCACCAGTACGGCGTGGACCTGTCCGACGTACCCATTATGATCCGGTACCAATCGTGATGCAGCGCGCGTGAGAAGGGAGTAGGTTCTGGCTTGCGGGGTTACTATTTACCATAATCAAGTAGCATTCACATGTTGCGCCTTTTGCATTCACACAGCGGCATCTGGGTAGGGAAGGGTATGGCGTTGTTCCTGTTTTGAGTAGATACTGCATGAGCCGGCATATAGCTACGACTCCACCCAATCAGAGAATAAATATCACTGCACTCACCGCAACTGCTGTGCCCTGTTGGTAGAAGTACCATGCGCGTTTAATGACCTTGGCATGTTGAGCGCGCGACGGTTGCCCAAAAGCCGCGTCGGGCATACCTGACATGCGCGATTTCGAGCTCCAGCGGTGGCTCAGCCTCGCATGCGTGCCATCGAGCCGATCAGGCACCGTCGGCGTCCATGCACGAGCCCCGGTGATGTCAGAATGAAATGCTAGTGGCTGCAGGTCCTGGACGGGGCAGGGATGTTAAGTAATGTTCGGTCCAAGACTCCAGCACCACAACCGAATGCGCGAAAATTGTCACTCCAGCTCCCCGCCATCGCCTCCCTTTCTCCTACACCTCACCCGCTCCCCATATTCACCGCCCGCCAGACACCGCGCCCTATAAAGCGTCCGTCTGCGCCTTCACTGCAGCCCACACACCCCTTCCGACAGCCTTTGGTCGCGTCAAAGGCTCCCGTCCCACTACGGCTTCGGCCCTGCTCCTGCTCAACGCCCAAGTTGTCTCTGCGCGCCCAGCACCTCACGTCTTCAACAACATCCCCCCTCCGCGTCTTGTCGCCATCTAAGACCGAACTCGAGCGCCTTTTCTTTTTGTCTCCTACCCAGACACTCGAGCAGCCCGAACTTCAGCTGCCGCATAGGACGCCATCAGCGGTTCTTCCTCTCGCAGAGGAAGCGGCCAGACCTCGCCCAACACCTAGCCTCGGCTTCGCACCCTTCAAGCCACCTTAACGCGGCACCACGACCGGCGAATACCCTAATTAACCAACCCTCTATCCAGACCCATCGTCAAGGGCATGGCACCTTCTGCTATCACGACTACCGAAGAATACCAATTCCCGTTGAAAGACATCCAGTCACTCAACAACTATTGCGCTGGTAGTGTGGACAATCATGGCGCCTGGAAATCCAAGCAGTTGATTGCGCACGCTCTCAAGAGCCGTGTCGAGGCTATTGATCCTGATACCTGCAGCGTCGGCGAGGAGGAGGCCTTCTTCGTCGCCGACCTGGGCGAGGTCTACCGCCAGCATTTGCGCTGGAAGAAGAACCTAGGCCGCGTCAAGCCGCACTATGGTAAGTCACTGCACCCCATACCACGTAGACTCGCCACTAACATGCCGCAGCCGTCAAGTGCAACCCTGACCCCCAAGTGCTGCGTCTCATGACCGCACTGGGTCTCGGCTTCGACTGTGCCTCCAAGAACGAGATTGAGACGGTGCTCAAGTTGGGCGTCGACCCGTCTCGCATCATCTACGCGCAGCCCTGCAAGACCAAGTCTTACGTGCGCTACGCCGCTCAGTCTGGCGTCAAGCAGATGACATTCGACAATGCCGACGAGCTCTACAAGACCAAGCAGCTCTTCCCGGATGCCGAGCTGTACCTGCGCATCTTGACTGATGACTCGGCCAGCTTGTGCCGTCTCAGCCAGAAATTCGGCGCCGCTTTGGACACGACTGCAGAGCTCTTGGAGCTGGCGAAGAAGCTGGAGCTCAACGTCGTTGGAGTCGCGTTCCACGTTGGCTCCGGCGCATCCGACCCCAAGGCCTTCATCAAGGCTGTGCAGGATGCCCGCTTCGTCTTTGACCAGGCAGCTGCACTTGGCTTCAACATGCACACCCTTGACGTCGGCGGCGGCTTTACGGGCGATGCTACCTTCGAGCCCATGGCCGCAGTGCTGTCTACTGCCTTGGACGAATACTTCCCGCCCCACATCCGCGTCATTGGGGAACCGGGACGCTACTATGTCTCCACAGCGTTCACCATTGCGTGCCATGTCATCGCTCGCCGTACCGTTGCCGATGCTACTCTCGGCACCACGTCGTACATGCTGTACCTCAATGACGGTGTCTACGGCAACTTCTCGAGCATCATCTTCGATCACCAGCATCCCGTGCCGCGTGTACTGAAGAACGGCAACGATATTCTGTACGATGTCCGTCGCTCTGGCTACGACACGCCGTCTCAAGTCGAGTACTCCATCTGGGGTCCGACATGCGATGGCATCGACGTCGTCTCGTCGTCGTGCACCTTCCCCGAGCTACTCGACGTGGGTGACTGGCTCTACTTTGAGGAGATGGGCGCGTACACCAAGTGCTCTGCTACTCGCTTCAACGGCTTCAGCGACAGCCACGATGTCGTCTACGTGTGCAGCGAGTCTGGTGCTGCGGCTCTTTTGGATATGTAAATATTCAGTGAAGCGTTGTGCGGTATAGATGAATTTTTTGTGTGTAATAGCGAGACGGAAGAAGCGCGTATGGAGGTAATCCCTTGGTTAAAAGTTTGATAGATCTCGTAGTTGTTTCGTATTCTTATCATCTCAAATACAGTATATTACTATAGCTGGAAAGGCATTCATCCCTTGTGTCGGTTTTGTTACTAGGTCTAGTTCCCTCTTCACCTCCACGCTTGACATTTCCTGATAGTCGCTTGCACGGCAGACACTAATGACTGGGATGTTGAAGCCGATTTGCCGCGTTGGTGTTGACAAGCCGAAGCTCGCGGATGCTCACAGAGTTGTCGGCCCGCTGCACTGCGCGGCCCGCCATGCGTCGAGGATCGTGGTTGTTACCAGCCACAGATGGCTTCAGGGATGGGCGATTTGATTTGCTGGAGGCAGATGGTAGTGTGTGCCACACCAGGTACAGGATGCTGCTCGTATGCGCCGCCAAGTGTGATCAGGAGCGGCCGCAAATTCGGTCGCAGCGCGTAAAGTCGAGCAGTCCAATCACATGTCAGAGGGCCTCCTCAGCCCAGGAGGTCAGTATGGCGAGACCCGCTGCAGCCCAACTCTTGGAGGGCCATGGTAGAAAGGCTACGTAAGTCAGCAGCATCGCGTAGAGACTGCCCATAAAACCTGAGGGCCCAGCGCGTGGCATGCTCATGTACAGTTGATGCACCCCGTCGCCCGGCAGCGTCATATCGAGCCTCGAGCGACTACCCCACCCCGCGCAGCCATCCACACCACCGTGTTGCCCTGCGCACGTCGAGCTATCCGCACCCGTAGCCAAAAATAAGTCGCCGCCTGCCATCGCCGGCGATCCAGGCACCGCTGCTGCAACGACACCGCAGCGCATATCCAGCACTCGCCCACCATGGACGGCCGCAAGCAGGGCCGCCCGGACGAGGAGCTGTTCCTGCGATACGACACCAACAGCAACCCGGACACGCCCATCATTCCCACCGTCGGGCCCCTGAGGATACAGAAGGGCCGCGATGGCAAGAGCCCGCCGCCGCGAACAGACTCGGCGGGCAGCTCGAGCCAGCCCGCCTTCTCGCGCCCTCCTCCCATGCCCTCGTTCCCCGCGCCGCCCACCAGCCCGCCCAACGCCCCTCTGCCCTACCCCGACAGCGACCGCCCGCCCACGCTCAGCACAGGCAGATACACGCCGCTCAGCGAGAGGGAGCGCCGCGCGCGAACAGCCACACCCCCTGACGGCGCAGACGGACCGCGGCGAGGCTCCAATGCGACAGGACCGAGTCCCACCTCGCCCAGCCAGCGCGCCCGCTTCGACGCCAACGACCCAAACCGACCCACGATAAGCGGCTATGGCGCGCGGAATCCAGACGGCTCCATCCAGCCCTCGAGGCTGGCCGAGCGCAGAGGGACAGCCCCGAAGCCGCTCCCAGACTCGCCAGGCCCAGAGGCGCCCGACAAGGAGGGCTTGTTCCAGAAGGCACCGCAGAGGAAGGGCAGCGAAGACGTGGGCGCCAGCAACCCATACCCCGAGTACCACCAGCAGTACTTTCCCCCGCCCGCTGCAGGTCCCAGTGCGGCCCCGGCTGCGCCCGCTGCGCCAGTCGTATACACAGGTCCCAACCAGAATGAGCCGGTACTCAAGGTGCCTACGCCCATGGACGTCAATCGCATGAGCTCCACCGCATCGACGTCAACAGTGAGGGCACAGAGAGGCTCACCTCCGCCCCCGGAGACGCCCATCATACCTCCCTCTGGCGGTGGCATAGAAGCGCGCTTTGCCGCAGCTGGCATTGCAGGAACATCCACACTCACCAACCTTCAAGCGCAGAGTGCCCAGAATGCGGCAGCTGCTCAGCGCAACCAGATATATGCCAATCAGCAGCCCAGACCGGGTCTCTCAACACCACAGCCGAGCCAACAGCCGGCGAGGAGACCATGGACGCCGACCGAGCAGCCTGGAGGCAATCCACATGGTCCACCGGCCGTATACCAGGGCATGGATCAAGTGCCTCCCTCGAGCACTCCCCCACAAGGCCCTCTTCCGCAGGCACCGAACACTCGCTTTTCGCCGCCTCCTACCAACGTGAACGTACCTCCAGAACACCCACTGAACCACGAGATGGGACGGATGAACTTGAATGAAGAACCCCCACCAGCGTACTCGAGTATAACAACCCCGCCAACAGGCCAAGCCCACAGCTATCCCAACGAAAAGGGCCAGCAGCCAGTTGCCCAAGGAGCCGGTTTCTCTGACCCTAACCAAGGCCATCCGGCATTCGCAAATGACCCGCGTCCACAAGCTGGACCATCACAACCTGCGGCGGTTATCGCACCAACGCCGACGCAGAACCAGTTCCCTCCTCAAATACAAACCACCCAACCCGCTCACACACCAAGTCCAGCTCCGGGACCCGGACCGGCCTCTCCTCCACCGCTCCCTGAAGGCTGGATAGCACATCTGGACCCTAGTTCTGGCCAGTATTACTACATCCATCTTCCAACTCAATCCACACAGTGGGAGTTTCCCAAAGGCCCAACACCTCTCAATCTGAATGAGCCTATGTCTCCTACCGGCACATTTGTTGGCGGTCCTCTGGCATCCCCGTCGTTTGGCAAGGCCCCCATCGCATCGCCTGGCTTTGCTCCACAGACGGCCACTTTTCCCGGAGACTTTGGCATGGCGCCGCTTGCGACACCAACCACTACCGGCTTCACTGGACCGCCTCCAGTTGCTGGTGTAGACCAATACAAGGTTGCTCCTACCAACGGCGTGTACTTTGGACCGTATCTCAGATACACTAACATGGATATTGAGCGAGGTCTGTGGCTAGGTTCGATACTGCTCATCACAAACACCCCTCATCCGCCGACTATTCACATCCATCAGAGTGCAGATTTGTCACCAAATCCGCGACAACTGAAGGCCAATCCCATCTATACACATCAGACGTGGATCTTTTACCGATACGACATTGACCTGAGGATGGAAGATGAACACGCTGCGAAATGGACCTATGCCATCACCTCGCACCTGGGCTGCACTCGCTTCGAGTTTCTGGTCGCAGGCCGAAACGAGACCAGCTGGCGGTTTATTGCTCACTCTGGCAATGACTTCGCGCTGAACGTCAACGCTAATGAGAGAGCGAGGCTTGGTGGTGTAGGCCTGATGTGGAAGGATATCCTACAGAAGAATGCCGAGTGTGGCGGTTTCCACGTACAACTTGGTTTGGGTGGCCAAATCTACGCCGACCGGTTATGGAAAGAACTTCCTTTACTCAAGCAATGGACCGCGACAAGTGGTAAAGAGGCCCGAAAGAATGCACCATGGACTGCAAAGCATGAAGAAGATGTCTGTCATGCATACTTCCACTACTACACAAGTCACTTCGATCAGCCACACTTGCGAGAGGCATTTGCACAGATACCTCACATTCTTGCTCTCGATGACCATGACATGTAAGTTCAATCCGTTTGTGAAACAGCAAGCAACCCTGACATTACCCAGATTTGATGGTTTCGGATCATACCCTGAATACATGCAGTTCTCGAACATGTTCAAGAACATTGGAAGACTGGGTATTGAGATGTACTTGCTCTTCCAGCACCACACAACACTAGAAATTCTCCGGAATGTCAACAACGACATGGACCTTTTCACCATCACGGGCACAGGCTGGCACTTCATCAAGTATCTGGGTCCATGCGTTACAGTTGTTGGCCCCGATTGTCGCTCGGAGCGCAACCCGCATCAGGTAATGGCAGGACCGACGTATCAAGGTATCTTCCCGAAGGTTGCGACACTACCGCCGAGTGTTCAGCACTGCATCTGGATGGTTCCTGTTCCCATTGTGTACCCTCGCCTGGAGTCAGTTGAGCATCTTGCTCACTCTATGGCTACTGGCAAGAAGGCTGTCACGGGCACATTCAACATGCTTGGAAAGGTGACAGCTGGAGTCGCTGGTGTCGTCGGTGCTAAGAGTGTGGTTGGCGATGGCTTCAACTCTGTCAAGAAAGCTATTGGCAAGTCAGGTCTGATGAGCGGAGTTCTGAGTCCCTTTGGCGAGATCGATTTGCTTGATGAGCTGAGAGACCAATGGACGCACGATTCAAAGGTTGGTGATTCCTAACTATCGTAGAAGTGTCTGCTAATATATCGAAGGATCTCGAACGAACGTACTTGATACGAACACTCCAAGGCATCGCACACAACAAGTCGCTACGAATGACGTTCTTCTCTGGTGCGGTCGACTGCTGCGGCGCTGGCCTCGTCCATGACCCATCGAGACCCCAAGATCACAAGACAATGTACCAGATCATCTCATCGTCAGTGGTAAACGGGCCGCCTGGAAGCTATGTGCTGCGACTTCTTCACAACAACCGTGCTCTCTACGTACCACAGAACGGACATCGCAGCAATAACCAACCCAGCGATACGAAGGAAGACATGATGGAGATTTTCACGCAAGACGTGAATGGACAACCTCGAGAACACAAGAGGCTGATGGGTCGACGAAACTACGTTGCTTGTGTCATCTACGATCCGGAGATCGTCAACGGGACGTTTGGCCAGGCTGTCCCTGGACATGGCAGTGGCAAGTTGAGTTTGGCGGTTGATTTCATGGTGCAGAACGATGGCGGATACAGTGCGCCGATGAAGTACGGACCTGTTATCGTTCCCAGTCTGGAGTATGGTAGATAGACGGACGGCCGACATTTTTGTTTTCTTCTGTTCCAAAGGCGAAATGCATAGCAAGCGTTGTATATGCTTTCTGGGATGTATGTTTGGGCGAACTCTTTCAATATGATATCAAGCAACAATAAAGGCCTTTCCACGCATGTTTTCCAGATCGATCGAGCCACTGCGATTAAGTGTTTAAGACAGTCCCCTCCGCTGACAGCTCTGCACGGCGCTGGGAGGTGGAATGGTTTGCCGAATTCGGCAATGACATGTGCAGGGCTTGGCTACCCGCGGCCTTTGAATTCTCGAC